TGGTATAAAAAAGCAGCTGAACAAGGAAGGTCATGCCAGTGCTCAATATAATGTTGCTCTATGTTATGAAATTGGAACTGGAGTAGAAAAAGATGAACAAGAAGCAGTTGAATGGTATAAAAAAGCAGCTGAACAAGGATATGCCAGTGCTCAATTTAAATGCTAATGGAATGGAACTGGAGGAGAAAAAGATGAACAAAAAGCAGTTGAATGGTTCCAAATGCAGCTAAACAAGATGCCTTAAAGTAAAAGGCAGGAAAAGTATAGTGCAAACAGTCAAATATTGGTTTACACAATGATTTAGTAAATATAAGTAAATGTATTAGTATGTACTATATCTTTATAAGTTTTATAAAAACTGATGTTAAGGTTATTGTTTATCTTGTGATTTTAATAAAATTTTATTAGCAAAAAGAATGGTAATACTTCATGTAATTATCTGTTACCAATATTAATGAACAAAACATTTCATGTGATCAATTAGAAAAGTTACACATCAACCTTCTATTATCTATGACAACAAATTATTTGTTATTGTGGTAATATGAATTCTTGTATTATTGTTATGGTTAGGTTAAGAATATCTCCTGGAGCACAGTGGCTATTGATAGATGAAGCAATGTTACTCTGTTAAATTATTTATGGATGAACTTTTGTTTCAAGTAAACATATGAGGAATGCATAAATGTTGTATGCAGCTTTCCATGTTATTTGTAATATTCACACAGGCAATATTTTTGCATCACAAAGGAATTAAACTTGATATTATCCACTTTTACTTTTTACCTTGTTTTTGCATCGCTTTCGAGCATTAAGAAAAGGAAACAAATTCAACAAAACGTAAACTGAGCATAGTTTTTTATAGAGCTTTATAAAATTGCAAGGCTTACCCTCCGTCAAGTTACAAGTGAAGATGTATTTCCCGATCTTGGAGAAGGATTTATTGATGCTTATCTTGGTGCATTCGGCAACGATTAATCCGTCATAGAAAGTCGCTGTCGAGCAACTTTATAAACTAGATCAATTTATGTCCGGTGGGATTATTATTATTGTATATACTGTTAACATTATGTACGTGTATATTATTCATAGACAACCTCGGGCATTATCACTTACCATGCCCGAGGAATATTGGTCACACTACATTCTTGATCACACTGGGAAGAAGACGTGTGCATTATCTGTTATTGGTTCAAGGGATTAAATAAGATCGTGCTTTACGACTCTGAATACGACTATTTCGGCTTGATTCTGGTTTTCACATTTTTCTTATCGCACTAGTCGTGATAGAAACAATGTTGGACGATAATTTGTTGATACATATAAGGATGCTATAATTGAAGCAGCCTACAATTACTATGACGATACCTGCACTACAAGAAGTGGATTTACATATGCTAGATAATTTGGATGAAGAATCCAATGCTTTATTCGAATCGCAATCCAAAGAATATGTAAAGAGTTGTCGCATAATTTGTTTATATAGTGAATTTATTATACATTCCTAAGACGATACCACAGGTTGATCCTGCTTTTTACATAGCGCGCTGAATTAATAAGGCTGAAGAAGACTCAGATGACCGACGAACATGGACATCTGAAAGTTGCCGTACATATTAATATGGACGCTTGTAAGGATCAGCATCACAACAACACTGAGCAAGTTCCTTGTATTCCCGGGCATTGGTGGTCATGGTCCTGCCTAAAATATTGCATACTAAAGTCAAAAGGTGGTTCACCGGTGGCAATCAAGTACACAAAAAAAATATGTGGCTGGTTTTGCAAGTATGGATGACTTCTGGTGCAATAAAGGTAAGGTAAACGCCTTGAATGATTGGATTTTGTTCATGTTATTCGCTGGTTGTGAGAAACCAAGATTGCATATTCAGTATACGATCTGATTCATCAATATGTAAAACTATGTTTCCGCCATGGAGATCACAATGCACAGAACCTACGTGATGCATAACATGCAGATAATCTGCAATGTTCTGCAAACACTTCTCCATGCCAACTTGTTATGTGTTGATCCAGATAATAATAAGACAATAGATTACCATTATTAGCATATTGCATAACCAGTATGTACTTTTTTGTTTCTGGGTCTTTTGTCACTCCACAAACTTAAAGGTAATGATACTCTGAATACTTGACATAATTTGTAAACTATTAAGTAAAAATGAATACAAAATCAGATTTAAATGTCACTTTAATTGACACTATCAAGTTACTTACCTCGGAAATAAGTAATTCTGGCGTCTGATTAAAACTCCTAAAAGTTTGAGGACAACAGTTCTGCCATCTGCTCTTCCGAATATTTTTATACTTGACAGTATAGATAGTTAGATTCAGGCTCCTGAATTTCACCAAAGTCAGAATATTGCATATTCTTCAGTTTGTATAAATTTGTCCAATACTGCATGCACACCCCTACGCGAAAGATTAATCGCTCTCGTTCTCGCTCTCCCAAGCCCCAGACCATCCGACTGTAACAATATGTAAATCCCAAACTTTTGTGACAAGAATATCTGGATGCTCATCACATAACTAGTGGAAATGATATGTTACTGTATATTAAGTCACTAGTTATGCACACAATTCACTAAACATTATGCATATCATAATATAAATCATCCGTTTCATCTGTTATCTCAATTGGAATCCATTCCAAATATGCATTATTTGCAGAGTTTGTTTTCATTTGAGATTTCTTAATAAATTTGTCAAGTTGCTTATTGTTGCTAGTCCATCCACTGGATAATAGTTTATGACCGCAAATGCACTACACAGGACTACATCGGAGTATGCAGAGAGACGAATGTTTATCTTCAGGGTTGGTAAAATCCAATTATGTTTTTGTTGCGCCAAACAAAGCCATCGGGAATATCGTCTAAAGTAACTGAGTACATCACTATCGCTTCCAACTAATAGCAACATTATCTTGTTTTCCTTAACTGTAATTTGACCTGGTAGTAAGGAATCCATTTTACGTCTTTGATTATCCTCATCTGGTGAGGATATAATCATGTGAATAATGCATAGTTTTGAATAATAAAGTTTTAAAATTCGGACATAAAGCAATTATTGTGTTACGTCAGACATTACCCAAACATGTAATGTCAGCTGATATCAGAAACTATTACTATGTATGGTTTATTTTTGCCAAATATAAAATTAGCATAACTCTATGTTATAAAATATATTAAAAAACAGCGCACATTCATTTTCTTTTTTGATAGGTTCACTGTGCCCAGTAATAAGAAAAAATCGCAGCTTTGAGGCTGATCTCTGATTCATTCGGAGCAAGGCTCGTTGAATTTTTGAACGCTGCAATTTCAATTGTTATAAATTTGTCATTTTTAATGCACACGGAAATTCTGTGCGAGCGTTAAAAACTACTACAGATTTGTTCTACCACTGCATCTTCAGTATGAACCGTTCTTAGATACACTCGGCAATTACCTTTGATAGTACAGTAGTATACAAAATTCAAATAGTCAAAGGAATGTAACGTTTACTATTAAAGTCTTTTGATTTGTAAACATTTGCTTATCTTTATTTAGCAATCCCAAGAATAAGAACTTGCGCAACCCGATAATTGCATGAGATACCGCAACTTTGTGATTGACAGAAAGAAATAATGAATGTTTTAATATGGAGCACATTGCTTTCTCGCGTTGATTGATCGTTGGGGGCAGTGTAAAGTTATGCCAATTGTCACGTTGTACTAAATGATACTATTAATATCAACATTAGCTTTCCTTTCCGGGCTATGGATATCAATGGATGGTTTGGCAAAAAGAACTTTTGGTCAATACTGCTAGTAACTAGTCCACTCACGTAATTAACTATACCAAAGCATATAATACCAAGTTTATGATTGCATCATCCACTATTAACTTGTATTACGTGAATTTCCCACATGTACGTACCTATAATGTTCACATGTTGCATGCTATTTATAAAAAACTCCTTTTGTTCGATTCCGTCAGTGTGGCTTAAAAATAACCTTAAATGGTCTGTGGCGCTTTCGTTCACAATGTCTACCCCACCATTAATGTCACGAAAACGCACCAACAATAAACATGCAAATTACTATAATTAAAGTTATCGCCTACAAGATTGTCTTGTCACATCTTGTACGCACATGTTAAGTAAGCCCATAAATGGTTGCCAGAGCGTGCTTGTCCAAATTTATTCTAGCTGTTTGGAGTTGTTAATCACAAGTAACGCCGAATCTGTGATTACGCAATGATGAAGCCAAACAAAACTTTTTTGCTTTTGTGTGACTAAGGGTTGCATATATTTAGCATTTACTCTATCTTTTGCATTCATGATTCGCTTTCTATTTATTGTATGAGCTAAATCGATTAAGGTTTTATTGGTATGCCTATTCGTGTTTTTTCAAGTGCTACGAGAACTGTAATTATAGTGTCCAATCAAAAAGAGACAGAAATTCGCAATCTCGCTTCGCAAAAGACTTGGTAAAATCTCGCGTGGACACAAACTCTTGCATAATTCGTATGATTTACAGTTTGCTACGAGTTGGCTAGCATGAATATTTGTTCATTGAAAATAGTTTTAACTGCTTACATTCAATCCTTGGCAACCCGAATAACAACATCCCACAACTGCCAATCTTGATCTATATAAATTACACTTATTCGGATACCAAAGATCTACTTATACTCCTCCTTTAAACCCCACCGATTGCAAACAAAAAAAATAATAAAAAGAAACGGAAACAGTAACAGAGACACTCTCCAAATTGTCCAAAACCTCTTTTTCCTTCTTCTTTGAAAATGATCATTCGCCAACTACAATGTGTCCAAGTGACTCGTAACGACCCCCGCACGCTCCCATCAGAATGATTAGTGTTTGAAAATTAAAAGAGTTCTTTGTGCAATATATGTACGAATGTTACAGCCGTACCCTGATAAATAAATACCAACCAGTGGAAGTAATAATATAATGCAGAAACTGATCTATGAAAAGTGTTGTTAGGACTCTAGAGAACTAAAATATTTTATGGCCTGATTAAATCCACGGATCTTATTGCATTCTGTCTTTAGATTTTTTGCTACTGATGTCGACCATACACCAGAGTTGATAAAGTTACGAGCATAGCGGAAACATAATTCTTCTCGGAAGTGGTCATAGAGTTTCTTGTTGTATTTCCGCTAGAGAAAAAGAATAGACAGAATGTATTAGTGCAAGAGTACATTGACAAATAAATGACATGAACATCAACGTCTGTCGTTCTTTGATTCCCCATCACCACCACCACCACCACCATCACCCTCGTTTGTTTACTCACCTCCATTCTCCTTGCATTTTCAAGGTATTCGTGTGACTGGTGGATCAAAAAGTCATCTGGCATTACCCAGTAATCTACACCAGACAAGTAAAGTTCGAACAAGCACGCAGCCTTGTTTGCACCATATCCAATAAACCTCTCGTCACACCATGGACTATCCTTGGGGAAAATAACATACGGTTCATAATGGTGTTGATATTGAGTAACCTTGTAGAGCTGGTCCGCCTCGTAAAACCGAGTATAATTGGTACTTCCATGACCTCTCCACCAAAATGCGTGAAACATGTCTAATTGACCCGCCTGAACCTGCTTCAGCAAATCGGTCTTGGTCTTTGGGAATTTTTCGTGCTCGTAACCGTCAGCCTGATTGACATACTCGAATGCCGTAATGATGATTCCGGTATTCTTGGCTCGTAACATGTTCATGAGCCGCTCGTCGTTTAGTATTTTCTCACGGAAATTGGTGCAGAGATAGAAATCAACATCGAGCATCATTACATAGTCGGTGCGGGCGAAGAATTTAGCTACGTTGCGCCACATGTTGAATTGGCGCTCGAATTTGTCTATTACGAGATGGACGTCGACAAATTTCTTCATTAGCGGATTGCCATGGTAGAGGTCGTTCAGCTGAGCAAGGAGTGCATTGCGTTTATGGGGTACGTCATTAACGTGTATTGTCACTGATATTGGGCCTAATGAAGAATAAAGAAAAAGAACAAAACTTGGTAAAAAGGTTTTGGAAAGAATAAAATTTTGATAACAAGGGGACCATGTATGGTATGAAGTGATAGTTTACCTTTGTAGTGATTGACGAGTCTGTCAAAAACTTTAAACCTATTAGCCGTAATAAGTGTAGTTATTGTAATGTCCTCTTTCGGTGGTGTTCCTTGTGCACGGAAATAGTATGGGATCACTTGTGTGGGCTGTAGCGATTCTGCAAATACTTTTGACAAGAAGAACTCTTCTGTCATTACGTCTTGCATACCTGTAAGGGGAATAAGCGAACGAACGATATAGGTAAGTACAATTTTGCATCGAATCCATTTACCCCTTTCCCCTCCCCCTCTCACTTCTCTTTTGCACATCTCGTTTCTTTAGACTTACCACCCCACTTGATAGCATCTTTGCCAGAGTTTGCAGACTGAATATTAATCCCTTTTAGATCATTACTTTGAGGTAGAACATCGGGAATTGCTTTTTCAGAAGTATATGTATGGTAGAAGTAGTTGGCTGTATACAATACAGCACAGAAAGTATAAATTAGGAACAAGTAGTAGAGTATTTTCGTTATGCTCTTTGATCCTTCTGCTGCCCTCATTGTGACTGTGCAGGTTCAGAGAGTGGAGTGCAGGTTCAGAGAGTGGAGTGCCGATTTATTTGTCAAGTGCAACAAAAAGCGGGTAGATATATTTATATAGAATACCGCCCCTTAGTTTAGACACAAGCTCTGCTCGTGACAAGGAGGACTAAGAGAGAAAATGTACTATAAAAGAGGAAATGAGGGTACAAAAATGTAGAGAGTTTTAATAGTTATTGAAAAAGAGAGGGAGTGGTTAATGGGGAAAGGCGGGAGGAGGGAGAGGGAATATAATACCCCGCAGGGGAATTAGGTAGCAGTTATAGAGGTGAAAAGTGGGATTAGTATCTCAAGGGGCGTGGCTAGACAGCCGAGTTATATCAAGTTTATGGATGAAAAGGGGAATGAACGGTGCAACAACGGTTCGGGCGTACTGCAATAAAGTGACCATGGCCGATTGGCCGCAAGGGGGGTCAAGGTAAATATGTGTGACATTATTGTTATGATAGGATAAGTCATCGAGTTTCTTCATTTGGATTTTTCCCAATCTTTGCTTTTATGGTTAGTGTTAAACTATAAGTCAATGATTACTAAACAGCCGAGTGTTTCATCACAGTTAAATATGCAGATCAATGAATAACAATTGTCGACGGGAGAGCCAAACAGCAAGTTAAACTAGCGTTTAAACACGATATTGTCTCATACAACCCGTGCTTTTACAGGTTATGAACGCCAAGCGTGGTAAAATTGCGCGAGATTGCGTAAAGGATGTGGTAGTAAAGATGTAAAAAGAAAAGCATGTTCAAACAATTAATTATTGGTGCCTGCATCTTAGGGACGGGTTAAAAGTGATGTCGAATCGCAAGCCTTTAAAACTGTCAACACGTGCATAAAACGAAGGAGACAGAGAGGGGGACCTTGATCAAATGACATAAAACTTATTCAGCGAGTGTGGGTTGCTGTTGTGTGTGCAGTTTCCGAGTGCTTTTTGTTGGTTATTAATTAATTTGATCTTGCCATATTTCGTTAAAACCGTTTCTACCACCACCAATGTACTGCGATGACGCTCCGTCTGTGGTATCCAATTATGCAAATGGTAATATTTAATATATACAATCCAGAATTGTTACCTATCGTTGGAATGTTTTTCTGGCCTGCGTTGTTCAAAGGTTATCCACGCCTATTTTCTTTTTGGAATGTGAGTGACAGCCAGCCAACGTAGATCTAATAGAAAAAGCGTTTCCATCAAAACTTGGTTTTTTAAAAAAGTTAAATTCGAAAATTAGAGATTCATCGTGGTTTTTGAGTGCTTAGTATTCGGTGTAAATCATCCATTTCCCCCGCAGAAAGAAAGTAAATAAATGGGGCACCTAATGGGTTTGACAGATAGATTAGTACGAGCGTTCGTTGTACATTGCCAAGAAGGTAAGTAAATACAAGGAGCCAATCAGAATAAAATAGATAAGACATAACTAAACAGCGATCGCCTTAATAAAACATAAAATGAGGTCTTAATTAAACCACCAAAAACTCAATATGATCGTTGTATCGTCGATCGTGCAAAGAGTACAATCATATATAAATGCATACACACTTCCCGATATGGATTATCAATTTAAATATAGCAGTAAGTAGCAATATATAGTGTTATACGTCGTAATGACGATGCCAACTGATATGGTAACTAGTGCCACCTCCTCAATATATTAAATTTTCCGCGAAGATCCAAGTATCAATTTTTAAGCGTCTCTATTTTTAATATTACTTCTTATGTAATTCGCCGCAAATACTACTACCCGGAATTGGTCTAGTGAAGAACTGCGTAAAGATGAATTGAATGAATTCAAGTACAAACCGTTCCCACACGCATGTATATGTAGTGAATGAAATTAGAGCCTAATCAGCATTGGGGACTTTTTGATTGGAGGAACTCTCTTTTTGGCCTTATTTTCCATTTGGGAATAGAAAAGGATAGAGTTTTGTTCAATCAACAAGTTTAATATTAAAGGTGATAGCTACGGATTAAATATGATGTCATATGATGCAGACAATATGTGGCGTGCAGTAGTAAATCAAGTTCCAAACTTGGCTGCCTGGAAAGTTTTGATGCATGACAGTCAAGGTTTAAGGGGTTGAAATGTTAAGCCACAGCAGTAATAATACCGTCATGAGCTACCTTATTTTCTGTCCTTATTTGTTTAATATTAGCGTTGCAGTCGAGAAGTCTTAAAAGTGGTCTATTAAAGAATTCGGGGAACACCCCGATAGTATAGGGACCTGCTACAGTTACTACAGTAATTGTATCAAGCAATTGTCATATTGAACAAAGAGCATTCAGGGGTCTTTATGCTTTTTATTGTCAACAAAAACTTGTAAAGACTCTCCTAAAATTAGGTGATAACAAAATCTACTTGTAAATATCTTGACTTAGACATTTAATAATGCCCAGTTCACTAGTAAAATTTTTTGAGATTAAACGTTATGATAGTAATTAAATTTCATAAAAAGTCTGGATTAAACTTGTAATTTTTATTTAACAAAATGGTGACTGAAATTCGCACTTAAAAAACTTCCGCCAGCAAAAAAACAATTTAAAGAAAAAATCACTAAGAAATGGATTAACAAGAACAGAGAAATAGAAATAGAGAATGAAGATGTTGATAATAATTTAATGTAGCATACTAATACGTTTCACTAAACAAAAATAATAAAATAATATGGATGAATAATTTGAATCACTATTTTCTTCCATGAAATTGTAATAATTATATGTGTATATAAATATTTACGTTAACTTTGTGCGTTTGTATTAGTCTAATATAAATGCATTGGTAAAACCAGATTCACACTTCAGAACATTAGATTATAACGACAACATTTTAAAATCAACGGAATATTAACAGTTCTAAGCCGCGTACAAATATATTACGGGTGTCATGATTATCAATTTTAATAATAATAGACACTTGGAGTAATGAAAATACAAACATGGAAAAAGAAAAACACAATATCGAGTGAAATAAATAAAATATAGCATCAGATATTCCGTAAATAGTATTGGAAAATCCAAAACTTGTATATCCATCACTCCAAAAAAATTGCATCCAAACGCAAGAAAAAAAATGAATTACCTCATCAAGCCATCAAAAAACTGCGAACTACATATACATTTTCTGCTTTGTCCGGGCGGGTTGACAGAAAACGTCTTTGCAGCCGACATTGAGAGTAGCAAGACTGTTAGTCACCTACACAAGAAGATAAATATTTATATCAACTATAACTGACTTGTATTTCATTGCCAAAGTTTACAAAAAGATGCTTTCGACTCTCTATACAACCCCCGTTCATAGATCGGATATTATAATTCTCTGATTAAGACGGTCTTCCTTATCAGCATGATACTCATTATTAATTACCAAGCGCGCACAAGGTATTGCCAACAAAAAAAAAGAATACGCTAGTTGCAAAGTATTCATTTGTCAGTTTAATCGAGGATTTACGCTATTTATTATACTGCGTGAATGGCTTAAATCTTAGCAATTTATAAAATTCTGCTGATTCTACAAGTTAAAACCGTTTATTGTATTCGATCGATATTTGTATTTGGCGTACTGTAGATAAATAAATGTTGTTTGACACCTACAAGAGGGCCGCGATGTGTTAAAGCTGAAATGTCAACAGCACGGATAAACGATTGGCTTCCGGGCACAAATTATCATAGAAGCTTTCGTCATCGTACTCTTTTAACTTGCGTTGTAGTTGCCAAAAGTATCTAACAATAAATATAGTCGCTCATATTGAGACCGTTGAATGCTGAAAATAACATGTTCATGTTGAAATCTAGGCTGAAAATACAAAGTAATTGCTAATGGTAAGCTTTCGTAAATTTTACAGTGCACATGAAATAATCGATTATAAAATTGAAACTGTTACAAGACTGTGTTAATCATACTTGATACGATTTCTTTGAGACCCATTAGCGAATTGTCGCATTTTTTTAGATTTGAATAGACAAGTCCTTTCGACTGTGTCAAAGAAGGTGTACTCTGTGTTACAGTTTGATGATATGATTTGTTCAATCCCTCATTGTACGATGTAACGCAATAAATGATAATTGTTACTCTAAAAACTTTATTCAAACTATGTCGTTAGTTGAGGATACTCCAATTGACCACTTGGTCAAAACTACTTGCTTTGGATGGATTCCTTACTCGCAAGTCACTAACATTGAGTCAAGTCAAATTGACGACGTCCACTATGCTATTCGCAAGAACACGTATTATACGAAAGCTTATGAAGAAGAGATTACGTTGGTATCGCTTGGAAAATGCACACCAACACTTGTGCATGAGTTTGCTAGAATATACTCATTTCCGACATCCAAGTACAAGTACAGGAACGACGTTATAGTTAGTCGATTTAGACGCTACCCCGAATGGCTTAGTTATCGCAACAAACACATAATTGGATTTACCAAGCACGATAACAACTATTACATGGTTGCCTATAGAGAGTTTTACCATCATTACTCTCGATATGGATTTTGCACTGCATGTGGAATACTCCGATGTAGTCCCGTGTGGTGCATCTGCGGACATAAACAAATATCCAATGGGTGGACTAGCAACAATAAACGACTCGATGAGTTTATTAAGAAATCTCAAACACAAACAAATTCTGCAAATGATGCCTATTTGGAATGGATTCCATTCGATTATCTTAATGTTCAAAAACATGATGTATACTTGAGGGGTCTACCTAATTTTGTACATGTTAAATTGATTCCACTCGAGGTAACAAATAAGACAGATGATTCATATTATGATAAGGTAAATTATTCAATTATTAACTATGCATAGTGTTTATTGAATTGTTTGTACTTATTGACTTAATATAACATATTATTTTCTACTAGTTATGTGTTGAGCATCCAGATATTCTTGCCAAAGATCTTTGGGTTACCTTTGGATTTACATATGATGCAGATAAACAGAAGTATTGTCTAATAAAGGGCAATTATG